CTGCGGGGCGAGGACGGAGGAGGGAAAGGTGCCAGACGCTCCGTTGGGCCCCAGCTGGGCCCAGTGAGGAAACAGGCAGCGTGAGGAAGGAGGTCGGAGGGCAGGCCGCTGCGGGCGGATGTTCTCAAAGGATTTTAAAGGTTTAAAAAGCCGTCTATTACCCCGGTTTTTACGGGTAATAATAATAATAATAATAATAATAATAATAATAATAATCCCCCCATGGGTGCCACTTTGTTGTGATGGGGGGGCTTAACTGTTCCAAGGAGCTGTGCTGGCAATAGTGTAACTACCAGCAGGTCCAACCAAGCCAGAGAGGTCTCAGCTGAGGAGTGGAACCAAGAGCATGGGTTCATTAGCACTGTGGAGAAGCAAACCAAAACGAAGTCTATACTGGCTTGGTTGACGCCCAGGATAAAAAGGACCACGGTGGATGCTGCTGATTCTGGACATCCATCAACAAGTGGGCTACAGAATCAAAATACAAATGAACCATCACAGAAGCGGCAGAAATATACAATGCCAGAAAACCGCAGTATTATTATTATTATTATTATTATTATTATTATTATTATTATTATTATTATTCTAAAATGGAGTCTCAGTATGAAGTCCCTCCTACAACATAGAATTAAGGGGAAATTGCATACCAATACACACATATACAGTATAGTATGCAATCAAAATGATATCTCATCCTCCTTTAGTGAAATTAACCCAATAGCTTGTCCCATCTGAATCTCCCACCAGATACGCTACCCTACTAATCCATTTCACCCAGGGAGTTTTTATAATTTTATTCCTTGCGACTGGCCCAGCCCACTGTGTTCAACTTTTATTATTTTATTTCATATCCTGTGTTTACTTTATATTAATTTGTTTTGTTTACATTTTATTTGATGTTATTATTTGTTATATGTATTCTATTTTGAATACTTGTAATTGTTGGGCTTGGCCTCATATTAGCCGCCCTGAGCCCCCATAGGGAGATGGAGGTGGGATATAAATAAAGTTTTATTACTACTACTACTACTATTATTTATATAGGTAAGGTAAAGGTTTCCCCCTGACATTAAGTCCAGTTGTGTCTGACTCTGTGACTCTGGGGGTTGGTGCTCATCACCATTTCTAAGCCAAAGAGTTGTCAGTAGACATCTCCAAGGTCATGTGGCCGGCATGACTGCATGGGGCGCTGTTATCTTCCCGCTAGAGCGGTACCTATTGATCTACTCTTCAAAACATAGGCCATCTGAACTGGGGTTGTGGTTTGCTCCGGCATTCACAGCCATTGAGGAAAGAGGAAACTTGGTGAGGCTTCTCAGCTTCAAACCCCTTGGACCCAGGACTAATTGAGACTGTAAGGTATGTTTTCCTTCACCCCTCTAAAGTTTTCCAGCTCATTGCTTTGAAAAAATGACTTTGTGATAAATAAAACTTATTTTGAGCTATTTACAGCGTTTTGGGTTTTTGGGAGTTCGTTTCCTATAGCAGGGCAAGAAGCAGGCATGGGGGAGGGAGGCTTCAGCCCCCCCCCCCCCGAAATTCTCATGGTGGTCCGTGAGAAGGCCTTACTGGTACATTATTAAACTGTTATGTTTATTCATATCATGATCTGATCACCATGCTCAATATATCCCATATGCATGGGGGTATTGGGGTAATGATACAAAAGGTTTGCTAGGGTAGACCCTCTTTCACTCAGACTCAGCCCCCCCCCAAACTCAGCCCCCCCGAAACCTCCTGAAAAAAACTCACCCCCCCCCCAATCGAAATCCTGGCTACGGGCCTGCTTGGGGGAAAGGTGCCACGTCCATCCCTCCTTTATTGAGAATAATAGCCCCCAGGCGCGACGGCACAACTTTCTTATTTTCTGATGGACTTAAATTGTCTGCACCTTGTTTCCCAGAGCCTGGTTCTGGGTGCATCATTCCACACTATAGAACGGATGCAGTTTGACATGACTTTACCTGTTTGACATGACATGGCTCAAGGCTACGGAATCCTAGGAGTCTGTCCTTTGGTGGGTCACCAGCCCTCTTTGGCAGAGAAGGCGAAAGGCCTGGTCAAAGGGCAACTCCCCTGATCTCCAGCATTGAGTCCTGGCAATTTCAAAGCGGTGCCCAAACCGACTCATTGGACAGGGTGGAGACAGGGGCCTCTCCCCGGGCCGCCCCGAGGGCTGCTGCGCCAGGGCTGGAAGCGAGAGCCGGCCTTGTCCCTCCTCCTCCTCCTCTTCTTCCTCTTCCTCCTCGGGGGGCCGCCTGTCATCTTCCTTGGCGGCGCCTGCTGGAAGGCTCCGAGGGGGCGGTTTGGGAATCTGCTGCGAGCCAATGGGGAAGAGGGCCGCGCTCAGCTGGCAGGCGTTTAAATGGGGAGCCCGCCGCGGCAGCGCTTCCAATCCGGAGCAGGAGGCGGCGGAGAAGGCGGCGAGAGGCTCTCCCTCCGGCTCTTTCCATGGGCCTCCTTCCCCAGCAGTGAAGCCTCCCTCGGCCCCGCAGGTGAGCTGCGCACGGGCGGGGTGCGGGACTCCCAGTCCAGACTATGAGCTAAGGACACGCGCGGGGCTATACGAACTAGAGGACTCCCTCACTCGAGGGCTGTCGAATGGATGCCTTGCGCCTTCTCTGCCAAAGACGAGGAAGCCCTCCAGGGGTTTTGGACTTCAACTCTCGCAATTCCTAACAGCCTACCGACTGTTAGGAATTGCGGGAGTTGAAGTCCAAAACACCTGAAGCTTCCCACAAGGAGAAATTGCATGTCGCTTCTGGTGAGAGAGAATTGGCCGTCTGCAAGGACGTTGCCCAGGGGACGCCCGAATGTTTTTGATGTTTTCCCATCCTTGTGGGAGGCTTCTCTCATGGGAGCTGGAGCTGACAGAGGGAGCTCATCCACGCTCTCCCCGATTCGAACCTGAGACCTGTCAGTCTTCAGTCCTGCTGGCACAAGGGTTTAAACCACTGCGCCACAAGGATGATAAAACATCTGGGATCCCCTGGGCAACGTCCTTGCAGACGGCCAATTCTCTCACACCAGAAGCGACTTGCAGTTTTTCAAGTCGCTCCTGACACAAAAAAGGGCATTGCGCCGTAATCCAGTTCCAAACAGATAATCTGGAATCGGAAACCGGATTATTTGGCAGTGCAGATGGGGCCCCACTCTCTCAGCATCCGAGGAAGGGGGTGGCAAGCCCTTTCTGAACACATCTTGCCAAGGAAACCCAAAGACAGGCTCGCCATCCATCGAGAAAGGGCTGGAAGACACACAACAAGCAGCAGGAAAGGACGGGTGTAATCGGAGTCCATAATTCCGCCGTCTGCCCATAATTCGCAATCAATACCTCACGAATTAGCTCCGGAGGATCTGTCGAAGGCTTTCAAGGCCGGAATCACTGGGTTGCTGTGAGTTTTCCAGGCTGTATGGCCATGTTCCAGAAGCATTCTCTCCTGACGTTTTGCCTGCATCTATGGCAGGCACCCTCAGAGGTTGCCTCACAACCTCTGAGGATGCCTGCCATAAATGCAGGCGAAACGTCAGGAGAGAATGCTTCTAGAACATGGCCATACAGCCCGAAAAACCTACAACAATTTGATCTTTACTCGGGATTAGATCTACTCCGGAATCAGTAAATTTCTGCTTTCCAAAATTCTGTTCATGTTTCTGTGGTTGCTATTGTTTGACGGGGGGAGAAAAGACCCCCCTCCGCCTCTCATCCTAGTTGGGAAGCCAGAGAGATCCGCTCTCGGATCCCCATCTACATTGCAACAGAATGCAGCTTGAAACTGCATCATCACCTGGTCAGTGTGATCAAGCCTTTGCCTGGACTTGAGCGGTGAGCTCCACGCGGCTGTTTAAACCGTCCGGGCGGGATGAACCCGCCTTTTCCACGCCCGAAGGCGTTGCTGTGGGCTCCTTTTCCACCGACGCAATGCTCACAGACGAGCGCAGCTTCAGGCAGCACCAATCACACTAGAGAATGAATCCACTTTAAATCCGGCTTCTGCCTCCTGCAGAATTCTGGGGTTTGTAGTTTACTGAGGCTGTTAAAGGCTCCTCCCTAAACTACAAACCCCAGAATTCTGCAGGAGGCAGCAACCGGATTTAAAGTGGATTCACTCTCTAGTGTGTGTCTCCAAGGCGACGGACGGAGGAAGCTGGTGGAAGTCCTCACCCGCCTTAAATGCAAGCGGTTAGTTTTGCTGACTGCCTAAAGCGAAGCTATGCGAGCTTTTCTGGCGCCCTTCCACGCAGCCCTATCAAGGCAGAAAACTCCACATTATCTGAATGTGGACTCAGATAACCAGTTCAAAGCAGATATTGGGGGATTTTCTGCCGTGATATTTTGGGATATAGGGCTATGTGGAAGGGCCCTGGGTTATCTGAATCCACACTGCCATATAGTCCAGTTCAAAGCAGATATTGGGGGTTATCTGCCTTGATATTCTGTGTGGAAGGGCCTCTAGGCAGAGTTTGTTCAGCGCTGAGTTGCTTTCGTCTCCCGCTGTGACTTGTCCAAGGCTACCCAAAGAGCTTCCCTGGCTGAAGCGGGATTCGAATCCTGGACTCCAATGCTCAAAACACTGGGCCACTCTGGCTCTCATCCTGGTCCACATTAGGTTGGATCTACACTGACACCAGTAGACCATAGAATACTGTTCAAACCGCATTATATGGCAGAGTAGATCCAGCCACTGTATTTCCTAAAACAGACTAGGGGCCCTTCCACACAGCCACATAACTCGGAATATCAAGGCAGATAATCCACAATATCTACTTTGAACTAAGTTATCTGAGTCCACACTGCCATATAACCCAGTTCAATGTGGATTTTATACAGCTGTGCCCAGATCCCCTTCTACACTGCCATATAAAATCCAGATTATCTGCTTTGAACTGGATGATATAGCAGTGTAGATTCAGATAATCCATTTCAAAGCAGATAATGTGAATTATCTACTTTGACAATCTGGATTAAATGGCAGTGTAGAAGGATCCAAGGGCTGCATCTACGCTGTCCTATAGCCCATCATAGGATCTCAGATTATCTGATTATCCCAGATTATCTGGCAGTGTAGACTCATATAATTCAGTTCAAAACTGGTAATCTGAGATCCGATTCTGGGATATAGGGCAGTGTAGATGCAGCCTTTGGCCCCTTTTACACTGCCATAAAATCCAGATTGTCAAAGTAGATAATCTACATTAATTGCTTTGAATGGAATTATCTGAGACTACACTGCCATATAATCCAGTTCAAAGCAGATAATCTAGATTTTATATGGCAGTGTAGAAAGGGCCCTAGGCCCCTTCCACACAGCTGTATAAAATCCACATTGAACTGGATTATATGGTAGTGTGGACTCAGATAACCCAGTTCAAAGCAGATATTGTGGATTATCTGCCTTGATATTCTGAGGGCCCTTCCACACAGCCCTATCTCCCAGAATGTCAAGGCAGAATATCCCACAATATCTGCTTTGAACTGGGTTATCTGAGTCCACACTGCCATATATTCCAGTACAAAGCAGGTAATGTGGGACTTTCACCCTTGATATTCCGTATATAGGGCAGGGTGGAAGGGCCCCTAGTCTGCACTAGGTAGATCCAGCCTAGAGGTACACAAACTGTAGCATCAATACACTTTGGCACCACTTTAACTGCCATGGCCCAATACTATGGAATCCTAGGATTTTGGTGTTTGTTGAGGCAGCAACTCTCTTTGGAAGAGAAGGCTAAAGACCTTGCGAAACTATAACTCCTGTGATTCTATAGCATTAAGACATGGCAGTTAAGGTGGAGTCAAACTTCATTCATTTTGCAGGGGGGGTTTTTTTGGTGTCAAGAGTGACTTGAGGAACTGCAAGTCGCTTCTGTTGTGAGAGAATTAAATTTCTGCAAGGACGTTGCCCATGGGATGCCGGGATGTTTAATGTTCTACCATCCATGTGGGGAGCTTCTCTCATGTCTCCGCATGGGGAGCTGGAGCTGACAGAGGGAGCTCAACATGCTGTCCCCAGTCCTGCCGGCACAAGGGTTTAACCCATTGCACCAGGGGGTTCTGCAGTATTGATGTTGGAGTCATTCACTACCCTCAGGCCACTCAGGTTGGGGGTACGTCAGAACATCCAATAGTAGTCCTTGTCTGCAGCTTTTCCTTCTGTGATTTCAGAAAGTTCCTCTGCAAAAAGGAAAAGTTTCAGAGAAGTATTGCTACTGGATGCTCGGATTTCTCATTTTTCCCCAACGCATTAGAGGGGAAGGGTGGAGCAGCCAAAGTTCAGCTGCCTGAGTAAAAAGAGATGGCTTTTGTTCTTTTCCATGTTTTGGACTCATGTGTGTGCATGAGCTGCCTTCCATGCATTTAATGATGGTGCTGGTCAAAACAATGGAGTCCCCCCCCCCCCCCCCCCCAATGAGGAAGATCCAGAGCAGCAGACCATCCTAGGCTGGTCTACACTGCCATATAATCCAGACGATCAAAGCAGAAAATCCACATTATCTGCTTTGATTCTGTCCTTCCACACAGCCCTATATCCCAGAAAATCCCACAATATCTGTTTTGAACTGGGTTATCTGACCACACTCAGATAATGTGGGATTTTCTGGCTTGATATTCTGGGATATAGGGCTGCGTGGAAGGGTCCTGAGTCTACACTGCCATATAATCCAATTCAAAGCAGAGAATCTGGATTTTACATATATGCCAGTGTAGATGCAGTTATAGCAAAGACTTCCTCCAATGACGTGCCTCCTTGGGTGTATCTACACTGTCCAATTAATGTGGTTTGACACCACATTAACTGCCATGGTTCAATACCATGGAATCACGGGATTTTGTTTTTAGGCGAGGCACCACCACTCATTGGCAGAGAAGGGTAAAGACCTTACAAAACTACAGCTCCCACAATTCCATAGCATTGAGACATGACAGTTGGAAGTGATGTCAAACTGCATTAATTTGACAGATGCACCTGTATATTGCAAAGAGCTGGCTTGGCTTGGCATTTTTAAAAAAGGAATTGTTGGCAGGTGTCATTATCCCATAGAAAAGATTGAGATCTCTTACAACATGGCAATCCTAACATGTTTGCATTCCACTCATGTTTCATTAGATCAGTGGTTCTCAACCTTCCTTATTTTCTGACCCCTTAATACAGTTCCTCATGTTGTGGTGACCCTTAAGCATAAAATTATTTTTGTTACTACTTCATAACTATAATTTTGCTACCTTTATGAATCGTCATGTAAATATCTGATATGCAGGATGTATTTTCATTCACTGGACCAAATTGGGCAAAAGTACCCGATATGCTCAAATTTGAATACTGGTGGGGTTGGAGGGGGCATTGATTTTGTCATTTGGGAGTTGTAGTTGCTGGGATTTATAGGTCACCTACAATCAAAGAGCATTCTGAACCCCACCAATGATAGAACTGAACCAAACTTGGCACACAGAACTCCCATGAACAACAGAAAATACTGGAAGGGTTTGGTAGGCATTGACCTTGAGTTTTGGAGTTGTAGTTCACCTACCTCCAGAGAGCACTGTGGACTCAAAATAATGATGGATCTGAACCAAACTTGGCATGGATACGCAACATGCCAAAATGTGAATACTGGTGGAGTTTGGGGAAAATAGACCTTGACATTTGGGTGTTGTAGTTGCTGGGATTTATAGTTCACCTACAATCAAAGAACATTCTGAACCCCACTGACGATAGAATTGGGCCAAACTTCCCACACAGAACCCCCATGACCACAGAAAATACTGTGTTTTCTGATGGCCTTTGGTGACCCCACTGACACCCCCTCGCAACCCCCTCCCAGGGGTCCCAACCCCCAGGTTGAAAAACACTGCATTAGATAGAGCTTAACCAAAGAACCAAGAAGCCACATTTGTTTGAAAACCTCCACAATGGATTTGAGATTAAACATTGAAGCAATTACTTTCAAACCCAGATGCATGTTGTTGTTTGTTCTGGGTGTGCACAATAGAAGGACTAAATCAAGTCTGCTGGTGAGTCTACTTTCCTAAGAAATTCTGACACTGATCTGAACCAACACTTCAAACAGTGCTTCCCAACTTCACTGTGTATCTTTCCACCCAAGAGACCGTCTCTGGTCAACTTTGATCTCTGTTGATATTCTGCTCAAATAAGCAGTGCTTTGAAATGGGTCTAAAATAGACAAAATACGGAAATTAAATGTTAAAAGAAACATGTTTAACTAATTTGAAGGTTGGAGGCTAAACTGACCAGCCAAGAAAGGGAAAGCTAGTGACTCTCAAAGTAATTTTCAGTGTTGCTTTTTCAGCTGAATTTCTTGACACTTTGTCTTTTGGCTTGAACTTGAAAATTAAAATAATGAGTCTGAATTGTTTTGGAAATTACTATTATAGCAGTCCTTGTATGTGTTGCCATTAGCAAATGACCTGCTATCAGTTTTGCTCCTGGGCAACTCATGTGTTCAAACCAATAGATTTAAAAGGAATATTGGTTTCATTCGCACATCTTTTTAAAGATGTAATAATAATAAATAATAACACTTTATTTATATTCCACCCTTCTCCTCCTGGGGACTCTGAGCAGATTACAGTGTAAACAGATGCTGGCAAACATTCAATGCCTTGTTACAATACAAGTGACACACAAACAAAGGCAAAGGCTTCTCTTTTCATTTCTGGCTTTGGGGGAGGTTCAGTTCTCCATTTACAAGCCGGGGAGCCCAAGTTTCCACCTCCTGGTGTTGTGACCAGCATGACTGCTTGCCTTTTTCTGCCGAAGTGGTACCTATTTATCTACTCACATTTGCATGTTTTCAAACTGCTGTGGCTAGGGCTAACAGTGGGCGCTCACCCCGTCTTGCAGATTCTAACTGCCAAACTTCAGGTCAGCAGTTCAGCAGCACAAGGGTTTAACCCATTGTGCCACCGTGGCCCTTAAATGTAAATTGCAGATAGGCTTTCTGGTAACGATCTCTCATCAACCAACCAATGGTTCAGTGTTATGCTCATCATTGATTCTTATTAGAGTCAAATGATACACAGTTTGCCCCCATTTCACTAGATTTAAACCCGGGGAAACAGATTGTGCACTTGAGTTAAATCACTTCCTTGAGTTATAGATGGAATCCTTAAGTGGTAAGACTATAAGAATCTGGAAGTAGTACTATCTGCAACTATTTTTTTTTGTGCAGTACGGATGTAACAAAGTTAGAAATGCTCTATATAAGCAATGTTAGTGTAATGAGTAACAATTTGTAGTTAATGTGTTGTTGAAGGATTTCATGGCCAGAATCACTTAGTTGCTGTGAGTTTTCCAGGCTATATGGCCATGTTCCAGAAGCATTCCTTTCTGACATTTCACCTATGTCTATGGCAGACATCCTCAGAGGTTGTGAGGTCTGTTGGAAACTAGGCAAATGAGGCTTATATATCTGTGAAATGTCCAGGGTGCCTCTGCTTGAGACAAGTGTGAACACAGAGATGCTGAACCACTCTAACAACTACCATGTCAGACTACACAGAGAAGCTACTGAAATTCACAAGCATGTGGACAATTTCAACAGAAAGGAGGAAACCATGAAAATGAACAAAATCGAGCCATCAGTATTTAAAAAAACCCTCTAAAACCAACACAGTAAATAAAGAACAGGACTCAAAAAGAATCAATCAGGACCAGCTAACACCTCCCAACAAAGAACCCTCCAGGCAGCAATCAGCTAGGCTTTAAAACTACAAGGCCATTAAATGCTAACCAAGGTGGCCAATTGCAGCATTCACATTTGCCCGAAACAGACGAGGCAGTGAGAAGCCAGACCTTGAAACATTCACTCCTATCTCAAACAGAAAAGGGTTCTTTCTCCCACCAAGGACATTCCACAGATATATAAACTTCATTTGCCTAGTTTCCCACAGACCTCACAACCCCTGAGGATACCTGCCATAGATGTGGATGAAACGTCAGGAGAAAATACTTCTGGCCATACAGCCCAGAAAACTCACAGCAACCCAATTTGTAGTTATTTTTCAGAAGTCATATTAAGGGGCATTTTGTCTGTATTTTCAAGTTTTATGCCATTCTCTCAATCATCCTACGTTTTTTACATCCCCAAAATGTAAATGAAGTAACGGAAAAGTAATGAACAGAGCAGGAGGTAATATAACATATATAAGTTGAGGGCATGATCGGGCCAAAATTGTGGATTTTGCTTTGACTCATAGATAAATTGAGGACATGTAACAAAGAAGTATTTTCCATTCCTTTAAAAATGCTCGTGGTTCTCAACCTGAGTCCTCAGATGTTTTTGGCATAACAGCTGATAAACTGGCTGAGATTTCTGGGAGTTGTAGGCCAAAAACATCTGGGGACCCCAGGTTGAGAACCACTTGCTTAAAGGAACTGATGAGCGGGGTGGGAGGTGGGGTTAAATTGTATTCCTGATTTTGGCACTTAACCACACTAGAGAAAAAAAATCCACTAAAAATCTGGTTTCTGCTTTCTGCAGAATTCTGGAGTTTGTAGTTTAGCGAGGCTGTTAAAGGCTCCTCCTTACAATGTCAACTTATAGACAAATACAGATAGAGAAATGAATATAAACGAGGAAAGAGAATGAGCATGCAGCCTGTAAAAAAGGAAGGGAGGAGAGCAAAGAATCAACCTGCCTCATAGGGACTGAACTTGAAGTGACAGGAGGATGAGGGAAAACCAGTGAAAGAAATCCTTCCTCACCTTCTTTTTTGGCTTGAGTGGAGTTTATCAGCAATGTAGTGGAATTATTTTGGGCTCTTGAGGTGGAATGGAGTGACAGCTACCATTTTTAATCAGGGCTTTCTGCATAAGCTTTTCTTTAGACACTGGCAGTCATTTTAATAAGGTAAAGGTAAAGGTTGTCCCCTGACATTAAGTCCAGTCATGTCTGACTCTGGGGGTTGGTGCTCATCTCCATTTCTAAGCCGAAGAGCCGGCGTTGTCCGTAGATACCTCCAAGATCATGTGGCCTGCATGACTGCATGGAGCACCGTTACCTTCCCACCAAAGCGGTACCTATTGATCTACTCATATTTGCATATTTTCGAATTGCTAGATTGACAGAAACTGGGCCTAATAGTAGGAGCTTATCCTGGTCCCGGATTCAAACTGCCAACCTTTTGGTCAGCAAGTTCAGCAGCTCAGCAGTTTAACCTGCTGCACTATCAGGGGATATAGAAAGACTAATTAAAATGACCTTGATTAGTACATGTGATGGGAGCCCCCGGTGGTGCAATGGGTTAAACTCTTGTGATGGCAGGACTGAAGACCGATAGGTTATAGGTTCAAATCTGGTGAGAGCACGGGTGAGCTCCCTCTGTCAGCTCCAGCTCCCCATGCAGGGGCATGAAAGAAGTCTGCCATAAGGATGGTAAAACATCAAAACATCCGGGTGTCCTCTGGGCAATGTCCTTGCAGATGGCCAATTCTCTCACACCAGAAGCAACTTGCAGTTTTTCCTGACACGGATAAAAAAGTACATGTTATGTAAAATATTTATTTTTCTTGCATAAATTAAATTCATGGGACATAATAAAAATAGCATTTTGCTCACTTGGCTCAAATGTATACTAGTATCTTAATACTCTCATTCTACTACATGGTTTCAGTCTGGTTTTTAAGCATTGCGTGATGTATAGTGAAGGAGTTACCGTAGGGAGTTTTAGGACTGACCTTTTGTCTCACAGCATGTGAAATTGACCGTATTCCCTTCTAAATCTCTAGGATGGCACGCAGTGTTTCGGCTGTTGGTGTTCTTCTTCTGTTTGGGCTTCTTCTCCCCACCACAGAGAATAAGAGGAATCGTGGGGCGCAAGGTGCTATCCCTCCTCCGGACAAAGCTCAACCCAATGATTCAGAACAGACCCAGCAGCATCAGTCTGAGACACAGCCTGGCTCCAGGCCCCCAGGCAAGAGAATCAAGCCATCCACTAAAGAGGTCCTGGGGTCAAGTCAAGAAGCTCTACATGTCACTGAGAGAAGATACCTGAAACGGGACTGGTGTAAAACACAGCCGCTTAAGCAAACCATCAACGAGGAAGGGTGCAACAGCCAAACCATTATTAACAGGTTCTGTTATGGCCAGTGTAATTCCTTCTACATCCCGAGGCACATCCAGAAAGAGGAAGGTGCTTTCAAGTCCTGTTCCTTCTGCAAACCAAAGAAAGTCACCACCATGTTAGTTACTCTGACCTGTCCAGAGCTTCAGCCCCCCAGGAAAAGAAAAAGGATCACACGAGTTAAAGAATGCCGCTGTCTATCTATAGACTTGGTTTAAGAACCAGCCATATATACTCCACGGCATCGGCCATCATTGCCTTCTCGAATCTAGAGAAGGCAATATATCCTCCATGGCATCTGCCGTCATTGCCTCAACCTGCTTACATATCTCTAGGCAGGACACCAATCAAAGAGAATTGCAGCAAACAATGTAAACTCTTTAGGTGGAAACATGAACTTCCGCTATGAAAGCATGCATGTGAAATCACACAGACACTTGGAGTGCAAGTTGTCACTTCTTCAACTGTAGCCCTTTTCCTAGGTTCAGTATCTCACTTTTTCACCATCATGTTGGCCTTCCTGTACTGCAATTGCCATCTTTCACCATCATCTATGCAATAGACTCTCCCCATTACCTATTGTAAGTGTGTGGTAGCCAAAGCGCTCAACCAGATGAGGGTTTCCATTTTTGTTTGATTGTTCCTGCATATTCAGAAGTTTGTATCCAGTTCTTTTTTCCTCCCTTTGATCTTTTGTCACCACCATTCTCGGGCTAAATCTACACTGCCCTATATCCCAGGATCTGATCCCAGATTATCTGCTTATCCCAGTTTATCTGTCACTGTAAGGTATAGTAAAGATAAAGGTTTCCCTTGACGTTGTGTCTGATTCTGGGGGGTGGTGCTCATCTCCATTTCTGAGCTGAAGAGCTGGCGTCTGCAGACACCTCCAAGGTCATGTAGCCAACATGACTGCAGGGAGCACTGTTATCTTCCCACCAAAGTGGTACCTATTGATCTACTCACATTTGCATATTTTCAAATTGCTAGGTTCGCAGAAGCTGGGGCTAACACTGGGAGTTCACCCTTCTTCCCAGATTCGAACCACTGACCTTTCAGTCAGCAAATTCAGCAGCTCATTGGTTTAACCCACTGTGCCACCAGAGGGCCCAATCTGGCAGTGTAAATTCATATAATCCAGTCCAAAGCAGGTAATCTGAGATCTGATCCTGGGATATAGGGCAGTGTATATCCAACCTCATACAACATTTTAGAAATTAATTTTTTCCAATTTCCAATTAGGCTTATTGTTAGTACTGTTATTTGGGAGTTATAAACAGAGTATTAAAGTGCTTTAACAATAGTATACTACTTAAGCATTAGGATCATTTTGTTTTAGTACTAACATTCCTCTTTCCCTAGAAAGAGTCATGGAAACAATAGCTGTTTTGACCTGACAGCTATCTTTACTGTCTCTGAGAGAGTAAAAAACATAGCAAGAAATTGATACATTTCTTTTTGGAATTACTTGATGAATTTGAACTGGCCTGGATAGTGGGAATAAAATGTCCTGGAACTCCTTGGAAAAACTTTCAGATGAGGAAAACCTCATATTGATCTCCAAAATAAAACTTGTTTCTATGAGAGCTATCCCTGGGATTTCCCGAGACGTAATTTCTCCATCTTTAGGCACCCTGAGAATTGTGTCCCAAAGGACACCTTAAAAGGGTTGTACTAATAGGGTGATACAGAAATACCTTTTGCAGATGGTCCTCAGTAAGAATAAGTTGTGCATTTATGGTTGTAGAGAAACTTGAACAAGGCCAGCTTTATTAAGAGGGAAAAGCTAGCCAATGATTCAGGTTAGAATTAAAGAGAAAAGTGCGTATTTTTTTAAAAAAGGAGCCATAGAGAAAAAATGAACCCACAAGGAAGCAAAAGAAGAGCAAATTAATGAATGTATTTAAAAAGCCATATTGGAGCAGCAGCATGCATCTGAGGATGCTAAACAGTTTGGACATGCTGATATTCTTAATTCTTCGATTGTGCTTTTAATGGTGGAAATGCTGGCAATGTCTGCACTATTTGTTTGTAGCCGTGAGTGCATATATTTGTACACTGGCCCACAATATGCAACTAAACCAGTTAACAAAGCATAACATTTAAGCAACAATAGGCAAGTCCAAAAAGTGTGCAGTGTCCAGCGGGGAGGAAGGGAAGGGACATCTCCTTGCCAACCTCCCTCTGCTTTCCTTCTCTTACTATCAACCTGCAGCAAATTATAATTTTTTGGGGAGAGGTGTATAATAAAAGCATGTTTGAAGAAATCCATTTCACATTTTAGTGTGAAGAAGTACCTAAAACAGCATTGCCATGGTAATGTCCTGGCTGGTTTGCTCATACTCCATAGCATCTAGACATTTTGCATTAATAAGTAATAGAGACAGGCAATGTGGAGTCCAATTCTGGCCTCTATCAGCCATGACAAGGCATGATGGAAGTCAAACAACATCTGATGGGTCACAGACTGTGCTTAAAACAGTCGGTTTGGATGTGATCCATGCAAGAATTATACCTAATGCTTGGAAGTTCTTAGGAATGCCAAGTAGCTTCTGCACAGTAATGTTGCCATAGCCATTTCTTTTCCATGGGTTAAAGAGCAGAGCACCTGTGATGGGGTGAAGAATGCTTGAAGCCGTTTCCGATCAAGTTTTGAAAGGGAACATAATGTAGAGCACAGCCATTGACCCAGTTGTTGGACTCTTAACTCCCATCAATACCATTTAACTAGCACAGCCATCCTTAAGAGATGATGGAAGTTGTTGCACAGCAACAGGTGAAATACCACTAGTCCGCTGCCCCATTCATATATTTATATCAAACATGAAATAGGCTTTAATTTTTCAAACAGCGTTTCCTAGTGGAAAGATGTTCATTCATTCAGTCGTTTCCGACTCTTCGTGACTTCACGGACCAGCCCATGCCAGAGCTCCCTGTCAGTCATCACCACCCCCAGCTCCTTCAAGGTCAATCCAGTCACTTCAAGGATACCATCCATCCATCTTGCCCTTGGTCAGCCCCTCTTCCTTTTTTCCTTCCATTTTCCCCAGCATCATTGTCTTCTCTAAGCTTTCCTTTCTTCTCATGATGTGGCCAAAGTACTTCATCTTGGCCTATACTATTCTTCTCTCCAATGAGCAGTCAGGCTTTATTTCTTGAAGTACGGACTGGTTGGATCTTCTCGCAGTCCAAGGCACTCTCAGCACTTTCCTCCAACACCACAGTTCAAAAGCATCTATCTTCCTAGTGGAAAGATAACACTGCTTATTTGACTTGTTGGATTCACTCTAAGCGATTTGATGTTTCACTTTGACACTGTTAATAGTTTCCCCCTTCTCATGTTTTACAATATAGCCATCCCCGTCACTTCACAGCTCCTCGTTCCATCTATTCAGGGGTCAAAATTTGGAATTGGCAACTACTTATGGGTTTGCGGGCTATAAATTGGTGTTTCGATTGTCAGAACTTGAAAGACCTCTAACAATGACATAGCTTTGTGGTGACATTCTGCTGCTTTATATTGTTGAATTCCACAAAATTCATATGTGATATGCCTTTCTGGTGCATCTTTCTTATACCTTTCTGGTGCATTTTACAAGATTGTAGATTATTTGTGCTGAAAATGATGAACAAAGAGAGGAGGAAGGGAGAAGGAGACAAATGAACATGGCACCACTTTTTAAACTAACTGCTTTTTATGGATATAAATATGGTTATAAAGGTAAAGGTTTCCCTTGACATTAAGTCTAGTCATGTTCAACTCTGGAGGGTGGTGCTCATCTCAATTTCTAAGCCAAAGAGCAAGCATTGTCTGTAGACACCTCCAAGGTCATGTGGCCAGCATGACTGCATGGAGCACCGTTACCTTCCTGCAGTCACAGTGCCTATTGATCTACTCACATTTGCATGTTTTCAAACTGCTAGATTGGCAGAAGCTGGGCCTAATAGCAGGAGCTTATCCTGGTCTCCGGATTCAAACCGCCAACCTTTTGGTCAGCAAGTTCAGCAGTTTAACCTGCTGTGCTACCAGGGGGTCCTTATGGTTATAAAAGTCAGTAACAAATAACAAATCAGCTAGTTTTGAAAATACGGTCACATTCATTTTTTCCCCTCCTTATCCCTGCTTCCTTTTTATGCTGAGAGAGACTAACATTGCTACTTTGAAAAACAAGAAAGAACATGCTGACCTAATAGATCCACTGAGAAGACTATAAAAGTTACTTTTTGGTCTAGTTCACTTTATCCTCCAGTAAGTATGACCACGAGAGAGAGAGAGAGAGAGAGAGAGAGAGAGGAAAGAAAGAATTTTACTAAATTCTGCTTAGAGCCAGCTGCTGTTGGACAGTAATATGCTCCAGTAATAATCCATACATCACAAGTAAGGGCTGTATCCTTCCAAGTTCATGAAAAAGCTCGATCCTGAATGTTAAGGGCCTTGTCAAGCATTATGATGCATATCTGAATATTTATCAGCATCATTTGTGGTGCCAAAGCATTTTTCCTAATGAAAATCAGACATTGAACTGGACTGAATGTATTTATTGGACACTGACGTAGTCTGTAGTTGTAACAATGCAAATCTATCCATTCATATTACTAAGGTTACCTGCTTAGTAATCATTTTATCTAGACGTTGTCAGATTTCTTTTCTTTGTAGGCTATTATTTTAAAGCCCGATTTCTGAGGTACAGGAGATAATTTCCACTGTGTGGAGTGTGAATAGTTAAGTTGAAATATATTTAATGTTTTTTTCAGTTTCACAGGATTTCAGTGGTTTCCACTATTTCCCAACTGATATTTGGGTTATGAAACACTTTTTTCTTTTTGAAGTGTTGGGGGTCTTTATGCTATTTTTCCCCTCTCTCTTTATATTTGCTATGTGGTGCAACCCCCCATTCCCCCAGCATGTTTTATATACTTACTTACTTACTTAGGTGATCCCTCGTTATCCGAGTAGGATTGTCTTCCTATATCAGTGTACTGGTGGTGGGTACATTAGTGACTGTGGATCCCTATTCTTGACCTGCAAGTTTTCCTCCAGTGAGGGCATCGGTTTCTAGGTGGAAGGCAGTCCTGGTTGGGGTTGGCTTCACATGCCTTCCTCTTGGCACGTTTCTCTCTTTCACCCTCTATTTGTGCCTCTTCAAATTCTACAGCACTGTTAGTCAGAGCTGACCTCCAGCTGGAGTGCTCAAGGGCCAGGGCTTCCCAGTTCTCAGTGTCTATGCCAGAGTTTTTAAGGTTGACTTTGAGCCCATCTTTAAATCTCTTTTCCTGTCCTTCAACATTCCATTTTACGTTCTTGAGTTCGGAGTAGAGCAACTGCTTTGGGAGACAATGGTCGGGCATCGGGACAACATGGCCGGTCCA